TCATCAGCTTGACCTTTGAGTTTGGCACATATTGCTAGGTCATGAGTCCAGCTGCATCTAGTTTTTCTTCCTTGTTTTACGCTACCTAAGCTAAAATAATGCCCTAAGTTCTACCCTTTTCATGCTTAATAAACTAAGACAATTCCTTATTAATCAACCTTTCTCTTCTTGTTTATTCAGGTGCTCTCTACCTGACTATCCCCTATCCTACTCTTTGCTTTGACTATTCGATTCTTGTTATCAGAAGGATTTGCTTTGACAGTTTCCCACAGAAATCTTTGTTGAACCCAGCGCACTCTTACAAAATGGTTTTGTATTTTGACAATATTGTGCTTTCTGGAAGAGAAACTGCTTCTGGAAAACTACCTCCTAATGCTAATACTCACACCTGAGTACAGCAGACAGCCCTTTCCAGCTAGTCACTCTAAGGGTGGGCACTGAGGTGTGCATTCAGTGATCTAAAAGCAAATGGTGCTTGATTTCCAACTCTGAGCACACTGTTGTTATCAGAATGAAAGGGTTGGGATTGTTCATCTTCGAGAAGGCTCCAAGGGAGACCTTAGAGCCCCTTCTAGTACCTAAAGGGGCTCCAAGAGAGCTGCAGACAGACTTGAGACAAGGGCCTGGAGTGACAGGACAAGGGAGAATGGCTTCACACTGACAGAGGGCAGAGTTAAGTGGGATATTGGGAAGAAATTCTTCTCTGTGAGAGTAGTGAGGCACTGGCACAGGTTTCCCAGAGAGGTTGTAACTGCCCCATCCCTGGACGTGTTCAAGGCCAGGTTGAACGGGTCTAGTGAACCTGGTCTAGTGGCCAGGGCACCCCATGACAAGGGGTGGGACTAGATGAACTTTAAGGTCCCTTCCAAACCATTCTGTGACTCTGTGTTTTCACTTGGGCAGGTAGCAGTGAATGGGACGTGCTCTGGTGCTGCCAGGCGCAGGAGGGGTTTGTCTCTGCTGGGTTTCTAGGCAGGTCCCTGCTGACATTCTATGTCCTAAGAGTTGTGCTGCTGATTGCATTTTAGGAGCAGATCCCTACGTGCTTATCAAATGTGAGAACGAAACTGTGCGTTCCCCTGTGCAGCACAATACAACCAGTCCCATCTTCAACACACAAGTAATTTTCTACAGGAAGAACATTGACAGTCCTATCACTATCCAGGTGAGACCAACCATGCAGGGTGGGCTGCTGCGGGCAGGGAGGGAGCACAGTAGCATCACTGGGCTTCAGGTGTGCCAACTCTTCCTGCATATGGCTGATACTCAGGAGAGAAGTGTGAGAACCTCTGCTTCCCTTACTGGGCTATGCCTGGAGCTGTGCTGCAGGTTCTCTAGTCTAGGTTTGCTCCATAAACACTGGCACTTAGGAATCAGAAAGCATATTTCATTCCAGGGCTTTGAAAGAATTTGCAAAATTACCTTTTGCCTCATGTGGTATCTAATGAAACAGACAAAGAAAAGCCAAGTGTTGTCCAGAGTCAGTGTTTGAAAACAAAACCAAAGCTAAGACCAACACTAAGAAGGTTTTTACCTTGAATTCTAGTCCTGTGGAACTAAACCACAGCACTCGGCACTAGCTGGAGAAACAGATCTTGGTATTGAGATGATGCAGTCCAGGAAAACTTTGGGAGAGTGGAACAGCATTTCAGGTTGATACACACAGTTGTTTAGTATTAGTCAAGTACTTAGGAGTGTGTCTTCTTCATCAGTGCAGGGAGATCTAAAAATGGACCTGGGAATCAGTAAGCGGCAGGAAGGGAAATAGCTTTAAAACACTGTGTTGCAAGAGATAAATTTCTGACTTGTCACTGCTCAGTGCAGTTCTGGTGCATAGTACTGCAGTACAGATTTCCTCCAAATATTGTAAACAGGAGGAGGATGATAGCAGTGTTATTCCACAAGCCACGGACTGTAGTTATGGATTAGAGGGAACTCATACAAAGCTGATGGGAGATGGTTTATGTTCTTAGCGTGTGCAGGATTGCCTAATCCCTAGGAAAGACTGGATTTGCACATGGGACTCACCCATCTCTCTGCAGCTGCAGCTCAAACACTTTGACTTTTTTAGGGTAGCTGAAAGGTAGTAATGACCTTCACAGCCCAAACCAGGACAGTCATAGGAGAGTAGCAGCAAACCCCACCATCAACATCATTTCAGCTGCTGCTTGTTATATGCCCAACCCCATCCTGAGGAGTGACTAATGACGTGTCCGAGGATCCAAAACTGCCACTGTCCTTGGTTTAGCAGTGTGGGCTGGGCTCAACAATGTCAGAGGAGCAGAGCTGAGCTCAGGCAGGCAGAGCAGCACAGACAGTCTGATTTCAGGTAGGTTTTACTGCTGATGAGCTCAAACAGGTAATTTTTATTCCTCTTCTAGGCAGTCTGTGACCTAGAAAGCAAAAACCTGCATTTTGCTCCTTATTTGCAGAGTGTATGTAAGCATGCAAATCCAGCATCTCCCACATGCTCTCTTGACAATTAGCTAAAAATCCCCACTCCTCACTGCTTTTTCAGGGGGTTAATGGGAGTGACTCTCCTTGAGCACAATCCTTTCAGGTGGAGTGGGAGAGCAGCACTGCTTCAGCTTGGTTTATTTCTGTTCCCTTGTCTCTAGGTCTGGAACAGTAACATCTTGTGTGACCAGCTCCTGGGGCAGGCAGTGCTGGCAGCTTCCCCCAGTGACCCTGGAGAGCAGCAGACGTTGCAGCTCCGAGGGAGAGGCGGGCGGGAGGCAGCGGAGGTGCCAGGTCACATCACCATCAAGGTTGTTTCCAGTGATGACTTCGTGGAGCTCTGAGTGCCAGAGCCCTGCAGAGCCAGACAGAGCTGTCACGTCGCAGCAGCAGGGCTCGTCTGTGCCTGCCGTGGCAGGACTCAGGAGCAAAGGGTGCACATCATCATAATTGCTTTTAAAGGAAAAAGCCCTCAAACTCTCCACATTATCATTGATAATGGGGAGAGAGGCTTTGAAAGAGGGCAAAATACATATTTATACATATATATATTCATTATACAGAACATACGGTAGAAGAGAGGCCAAATGAAATGCTGACAAATAAGCTCATAAAGATGTGACTATCTTCCCAGCAACATTTTTCAGAAGATCTTGGCATGTAAGCTGGAAGCACACGTGTCTGTCCCCACAGGTTCCCAGCACATCCTCATCTGTTCCTTGCAGTGGGACTGGATGCAGGTTGGATGCATGCAGGGCTGTGGGGTTCAAAGGGAGAAGCCAAGGGACCCCCATCCAGCTGGGAGGCAAGATGGCTTTGTGCTCTCGATGGGTTCAGGAGCTGCAGCTCCATGGGCTGCAGGGTTCTGATGTAAACTTTCTCTTACCCGCTGCCTGCAGCCACGTGGCAGTGTTTCCCTGGCAGTGCAAGAGGTTCACTGTGTCAGACACTCAGAAATGGATTTTACACAGCTGCAAATTTTGGTCCATAATGTAAGGCTGAAGGATGACTGTTCTGCCTTTTGTGCAGCCAGGAAAGTTGGATTTCTGTGTACCTTGTAGCCACTTCGGCTACATTGTGCAATTATTGTAATTTATAAAATGGCCCTCGATAGAGTTAATGTGTTCATAAAAGGTCCTGAAGACTCCTCAGGGCTCCAAAAGGATCATTGCAGCGGTAGGAAATTCTCTGACACGCTGGAGATGGAATGTGAGGCTATGAGTGATGCTGCACTGCCATCAGCTTAGCTGCATATACCAAGTACCTAAATCCAGCTCTTTTCAAACAGCTTGGGCTCAGGCCATTTGGCACCCAGAGCATTTGTCAGATGTGTGAACTACATGCCCTGCAGGCAAGCGGAATTCTTCTCATGGCTTCAGGGTTGCTCACTCTCAGAAATGTTTGTAAACTGAGATTTTTTTTTAAAAAAGCTTGAACTGTCTCATAGAGAGCAGAGCTCTGGGGAGCCACACAGGGCTGTTCTAGCCCCGCGCTGAAACCCATTTTCTTCACTTTGCCTCACACGCTGTTCTACACCGTGGGGGCTGCATCCAGCAGTGTGGCACAAGGAGTGATTGCAGCCTCTTGGCACAGCTTCCCCCTACGGGTGGAGAGCACCGTGGCAGTGTTCTAGCACGGGTAAAAGCCCTGTGGGGCACTGCCAGTCGCGGGGTAGCAGGGGGGGCGGCAGGAGAGCTCATGGTGTATAACCCCATTCCAGGCACACACAGGGCTGTTCCCTGTGAGATGAGTGCTGTACCCAGGGGTTGGGCTTGGCCAGCTGAGTGATCTGGGTCCGTGTTTAGCCTGAAGAAGGTTCCCCTCAGAGATGACACCCAGCACAGCCAGGCTGCTTTCCCTGCTGTGAGGCAGCCAGCAGCATCCAGAGCCTTATGCCTCCCTGGCCATGATCTGGCTGATCCAAAAGCTCCTGAAGCCATCGAGAGCACAAAGCCATCTTGCCTCCCAGCTGGATGGGGCTCCCTTGTGTGATAAATGACTGAGTCCCCAAACAGGATTGCAGTCAAAATTTGCAATTTATTATGCGAATTTAAGCAAGCAAACAGCGCTGGGTGCGCGGGGAGTCTCTGCTCTACCAACACGCACACTGTACAAGTCCCGGTTTCGGTTTATTAACTCGTTGTTAATACATATTCATGACTGTCCGAGAAGAGGGGGGGTCTTTGTCGGGACGTGTTCACTTCGCCTCCTTGAGTCTTCAGCGCAGCCCATGAGAAAACACCTAAAAGGCTAAGCCTAAATTTAACCCATTCTCCTCTGGCAGACTCAGCCGGAAATCAATTCCTGTCCAGATCGAACCCCAAAAAAGTTACTCCAGGAACAACACAGCTTGACAAAACATGGTGAATGCTAAGCAAACAAAATGTTCTTAACAAACAAACGATATTATAAGTCTCTTTGCCCTCCCCCGGTGCCGCCGGACGCGGCTCTGCTCACTCTCCCGGTGCCCCCGCGGGCGGTGCCAAAGGCTCTGCCCTCACCGATCTCTCGGCACTCTCGGCTTTTTATTGCTTGCCTGTGTGTCATAGCAGCTTCCAATTCCAAATAAGCAGTATCACAAATACTATAAGGCTTATATTTACAAAACAATATTGAGGTAGATATATATATAGATTCTAACATTGCTCCGTATTGACAGGAATCTGGGGACCATATTTCACATTTGGCTTCTCCCTCTGAGCCCCAGAGCCCTCTGGGTCTCCACACCACCACCCATTTCAGCCCCTGTGTAAGGGCTATCCCCAGTGTCAGAGGGGCAGGAAGAACGTGACCAGCAGTTCTTGGTGGTGTACAGCCTGGCAAAGGGGGAAGTCAGAGTAGTGAGCATAGAGGTGATGACTTTTAGGCCTTGAAAAAATGTCAGCTCTAGACATTCCCACAGTTTGTCCCTGTGGTATGGGGACAGAAAGTCCTTGAACTTCACTGCTGACCAGTGCCGCCCCGAGGGAAGCTGCGGGAGGCTCAGATATGCAGAGGCCAAGCAGAATGTCTGTACCTCCCCATTTATTATTTTTTAGAAGTAGCTGAGCTTGGGCAGGAGAGACCTCTTATGAAATTTGTGGCCTCCTCTGGACTTGCTCCAACAGCTCCATGTCCCTCTTACGTTGAGGGCACCAGAACTGCACGCAATATTCCAGGCGGGGTCTCATGAGAGCAGAGCGGGAGAATCACCTCTTTTGACCTGTTGGCCACACTTCTTTTGACACAGCCCAGAATTCATTGGCTTTCTGGGCTGCTAGCGCACACTGCCGGCTCATTGTGAGCTTCTCATCCACTGTCACTCCGAAGTCTCTCTCCTCATTGCTGGTCTCAGTTACTTCCCTGCCCAGCCTGTAGGTGGGCCTGGGATTGCCATGGCCCAGAGGGAGGACCTTGCACTTCATTTTGTGGAATTTCATGAGGTCTGCACGACAATTACACAGTATATTGTGTGTCTATACATTATACGCATTTGCACGCTCCCATATAATGCTCCTGCATTTAGTAATCTATTATATACATCTCTCTAGTAATCTCTGTGTATTATATACATCTTCTATCTCACCGTGTTCTGCCAGGTGGAGAGACAGGCCCAATAGGCCTCCTGTCTGCCTGTTGGGCCTGTCCCAGGGAAGGTTGTCATCCTTTGTGTCAGCCTCAGTTCCTAGGGCAGGTCTCATGTGCCTCAAGGATGCTCAGCAGTGCCCGTGCCTGCAGAGCAGCCCGGCTCCCTCCCCTGTGCCCACAGTGCTGCAGACACTCACAGCCTTTCTCTAGAGCCGCAAGACAACTGGGAGAAGAGGAAGCATCCTCAGCAGTGACACCACTGCTCCACTCTGTTATGCCTTTCTCTCCTGTGCAGGCTCAAGGTGGCCAATGCCACCTGTCCACACGTTTCCCAGCATGGCTGTGATTACCCTCTGGAGCAACCCACACCCCATTTGGCTCTGAGATGGGAGGATCTGTGGGTCCCAGGAAGAGACAAGCACCCAGGGATGCTCACTGCCTCTGTCCAGTCTGGCTCTGGGGATGCTGAGGCTGCTCTGTGTTCTGCCAGGGCTCTGCTGGGGCTCAGCACAGGGTACTGGGCCTGCTCTCACCTCACACTGCCCTGACAGCTTTGCATCAGACAGGCCCTTGCCAAGCACACAGACTGATCGTTCTGCCTTTTCAACTAAGACTCTCATCCAGGCACAGAGCTTGCAGTTACTGAGGCAAGTACGATTGGCAAGAACCCAAGCATTTTTTTGTCCCAGATGAACACCTGGATCTCCACAGGGTGCTTTGGCAGCCCCACTCTTCAATCTGGTTTTGGCTGGAAATGCAATTGCACTTTCTTCCTCATCTAGAAGAACCATGACTGGGAAAATCCTGCCCAGAGGGCCATATTCCAAGGGCAGTGCTGTCTGGCGTTGATGAATGAAGGAGAACCTTCTCCAATTCCAAACCAAACCAAAGCCCCCTTGACTAGGACTTTCCATCCTTAAGGAAAAAACCCCAACAATTCAGAAGTTTATTAATGCACAGTTTAATCACAGGTTGAGAAGGAAGGGAATGGTCCAAAGGAGTTGGGGTTTAGTTCCCAGTTGTGCTGTGCTGGGAAGCTGCTTGGGAACGCTAGCATTCCTTCTGCTCCTTGTATTGCCTGGCTGCAAGGATCAGACCAGTGAGTCTGGAGAGACTCTTGGCTGTTTCTAAAAACGGATGCTGTCCAAAGGAAAGAAAAAAGAAAGAAACCATTACCTCCCAAACTCCGTTCCTCACAGGCTCAAGCAGGATTTCTCTAGTTCCCAGAAAGACACAGAAATAGGGCTGAGAGGACCATCTGGACCTCTGGCTCCATGTCCAGGACCTTGCTATCACAGGCAAACATGGCCCATCATCCCAGTAATCCATTCATCAGGGTATCTTCAGCTTGCTGGGATTTTTGCCCTGCCAGTGCTGTGGGAATGCCACTTGCTGTCCCAGGGCTTTGTTCCTTTCAGGAAACTCAAAAGACTCGCGGAAGTTCCTCTTTTCTAGAGACGTGGGCTATTTTAGTTGTCAGAACAGGTGAGGCAGAAGACATTCCGCAGGAAACTCCAATACCTCTAAGAAATGCTGACCTCAGTAGGATTTAGGCCCATGTACTACTGTTCTGAAGACCACTGAGGCACAGGTTTTCGGCACCGAGACAAGAGCAGGGACGCAAGTGGCACAAGTGCTGATGGACTCCACTCTGGCTTGCAGGGAGAACAGTGTCTGCCCTGCCCCTCGTCTGCTGGCTGGCACCTTCCTTCACAGCAGGGACAACTGAGTGGCACCTTCTGCAGCTCCCTGTCTGCCACAAAACCTGGCAGCAGAC